AAAAAAGCATCGTAAAATTTATGATCACAAAATTGGTAAGATACTACTTACTTAACATAAAGATACGTCTATATTCTATACATATAAAAAAATTCTGAGTCGAATCTGTACATTAAACATTTTTTTGGAAAATCTTATTGAAATATTGCTGATACAGAGGCCGAAACTATAGTTTTTAGGTTCTCTCTGTATGCTTGTGACCGCATCACGACAAAACCACGGGACAGGTTTTGATGTAATTTGGTATGATGATAGCTGGTTATCCGGTTCAACATATAGGACATTACTTTTTACTGCAGGAAAATATCTCATCTCTGAGAAATCTATACTAAACTACGTAGCTAGGAACGATCCCGAGCGTAGCGAGGATGAGTCGCTAGTACAATATAAAGATAAGATCATGTCTCTATCGGACTAATATTATAAATGAGAAAGTGTGTATGCGTGTGCGTGTGCGTTTGTTTTTCACTCTTTCACACTGTAACGCCTGGACGGATTTGGATGAAATATAAAAAAATAATAGATTAAAGCCTGGAGTAACCACATAGGCTTTTTTGTTTTTTTTAACGTTGGGAAATGCATTTACGCACGAGGTGTGGGACTCACCGGCAAAGCCAGTACTACCCACTAAAACCCAACAAAGCCTTCCCCCGTCTTAATGGGGCGTCGCAGGATCGCTTACGCATTCAACTACGACGCCTCGACGGCAGGTCTGCCGAAGCAGACCACAACAACCACGGGGTTGCTCCAAGGTCCACTCTGCTATCAGAGAAGTACCAGGAGCAACCCGCATGGTACACCGCCCTCCGAAGAGGGCCACCTCCCACCGCCCACCGAAGTGGGCCACCTCTCTGTGCGTTTCTTGGCTTCGCGCCCGGTTGAGTTGCCGGGCTCTACAGAGCCCCCCCCCCACCACGACAAGGTGAACGCACGTTGGGGGGGAACCACATAGGCTACTGATAGGCACCCAGGGACGTACCTGAGCGGTGTGAGGGTAATTTACTAGTATTTAATAGATAGTGTTTCTTATACTCATCTTGTTATCTAATGAAGATATACAATGGACTGAAATTGGGACACGCTGAAATGGATCTTAGTGTTTAATTTCCAGGTGCATACATTAATTAGGATTTAGCACAACGTGTTAATACAAATTAATATCCCTATACACCGTCGTAGTTAATTTAGTAGTACAATTAGTGCTCTCAATTTTCCTCACTCAAAATATCTAAGTACTATCGACTTACCCTCGTTTTGCTCGCGTGCGTTCCAAGATACGTTTTAATTTTTTTGAGCGGAACCCTAATTCTTTTTCTAAAATAAAAGTAACCTAAGTTACTCCTCATAAGATCAGCTAGCTATATGCCAGTGAAAGTCACGTCAAAATCGGTGCAGCCAGTTAGGAGATTAGCGGGAACAAACCGACGGACAAACGTTTAAAAAAATAACCTGTATATAATTTCATAGGATTTAGTAAAAAGCTGTTATTTTGACGTTACAAACAAAGACTTCAATTTTATTTATTTGTATAGATGAATCACAATATGTTTGTGATTAAAATCAGTCAGAAAATAAAATACTTTCACTATAAAAAACACTTATCCTAGAAATCATAAAATTTTAATGAAAAAATAAAAACTGCGTCCACGAATAAAATAATTATGTGGCCGACGGCGCCTCAGGTGAAAGAAAAAATATATGGACAATACAATAACTTTATATTAAAAAGTTAAAATAACATCGAAATTACTTTAGACGTCATTTTTCAGCTTTAAGGATAGAATGCTAATAAGACTATTTTTTATTCATTAAAAATCATTAAGATAGATTGACAATTAGTACCTAAATAATATTTATGTTCGTATAGGAAAGTAGAACTCAAAAACAAAAAACAAGTATTTTGTTATACACCAATGCTATCTCCTTTTATACCCTCCTCTGTTAAAATACCTTGTTTTATATTGATGTTATATTATAATATTTTTTCTTACATATATGTAAGAAAAAAATATTTTTTCGTTAATAGATCATTTCTGATATTTTATTTAAACCAATATTTTCTAAGTCTACGTAGACAAGGTAATGGACGGTAACATTCAAGAGATATGAAGCGCGAGCTGCAAATTTAGTGAAGGCGGATGACCGCTTTGGTAATCGAATCGTGTTAACCTATTATTACATCTGACCGACGCTCATAATTTGCCTTCATCTCGAAATCTTTCACTATACTAAATTATTCCAACTTACTAGTACTAGTCGCTAGTAGCTTACTATATAGTTGCTAAGACGTAGGACTTCAGATCTGGAGGGTCTGGGTTCGAACCCTGGGCCGGACCAAGTTTAATTATTGAAATCTGACAAGTCTAGTTTAGAGGATAAGCCGCAAGTTTGGAATAAAGCTACCTAAATCGTATTTAAATCAGTTGAGTATGACCAATTATTTAGGTTAACAGCTTAAGCTTTCCATTGTAAGTGCACTCATACAAGCAAGGGTCGTGTTATTAGATAAAAGGCTGTTACAGGAGGGTAGTTAGATGACTGATCATAAAGATTATATTTTTTTGGAAAATCTTATTGAAATAAACATTATTATCGATACAAAGGCCGAATATATAGTTATTAGATTTTTTGTCTGTCTGTCTGTTACCGCATCACAAAAAAACCACTGCAGGGATTTTGATTAAATTTGGTATGGCGATAGCTGGTTATCCGGGTAAACATATAGGATACTTTTTACCGCGGAAAAATATATCATTTTTGAGAAAAAATGCAAGAACTGCAGTGTAAGAATATATTAATCTGTAAAACCTAAGAATTTGGTTTTTGGTCATCTGGACGCGGGCGGAGCCGCGGGCAATGCGAGTACAATATATATTCAATACTAGCGACTTACTTCTCGTTTCACTCGGTTTCATCCATGGACGATTCTTTAAATTGACATAGTATATTTTTTATTTATAAACCGATTGAAATAAGACAAACACTAAATGTTAAGTGAAGCTTACCACAATACATTAGTGAAAATCGCACCTATTTTTTTAACGTTGGGAAATGCATTTACGCACGAGGTGTGGGACTCACCGGCGTAATAAAGCCAGTACTACCCACTAAAACCCAACAAAACCTTCCCCCGTCTTAATGGGGCGTCGCAGGATCGCTTACGCATTCAACTACGACGCCCCGACGGCAGGTCTGCCGAAGCAGACCACCACAACCATGCGGTTGCTCCAAGGTCCACTTTGCTATCAGAGAAGTACCAGGAGCAACCTACATGGTACACCGCCCACCGAAGAGGGCCACCTCCCACCGCCCACCGAAGTGGGCCACCTCCTTGTGGGTTTCTTGGCTTCGCGCCCGGTTGGGTTGCCGAGCACTACTGAGCCCCCCCACCACGACAAGGTGAACGCACGTTGGGGGGGAGTGAAAATCGCACCTAAACCGCAACAGACAAACACAAAAATTCTAAAAACCATTGTTTTGGGTTTTATTGCGAGTTAAAGACCCCTAATAGTAGTTTTCCCAAATATTTTCCATGTACAGACAGCGATCAGTTAGAATTTTATTATATGTAGGTACTCGCAGTACCCGCGGCTTCGCCCGCGTTCAAACTACTAAAAAAACAAACTCTTTGACACACTGAATGCAACGTCATTTACCGAGTACATTTGTGAATTTAAACCTTGCAGGGACCCACTCGAACATATGTACACAGAAAATATTATTAAAATCGTCCCTGCCGTTTAAAAGATCAGTGACATATCAACAGCAGCGCCACCTACCGGGTCCAAATGTTTTTTCAAACCATATAGGAGCCCATTGAAATATACACACAAAATTTCATCCAAATCGGTCCATTCTTTTAGGAGGAGTAAGGTGACAAACACACGTACATAAAATTATATATATTAAGATATTCGTATATATAGAAAATTTACGAAGAAATTCAAAAATTCTTGGAATAATAACTTCGGTTGGTGTGCCTAATTTTTCAATAGTTCAAACATCTTAAAGTTACGCTAGTCCTGGCCTAAGCGCAGCAATTAACTCTAACGTCGCTATTAATTTAGGTATTTTCAACATTTTAATAGTGGACAAGAATTTTAACAAACATTTTAACAAAGATTTTCAATGTAATTAAAAACCAAATAATTAGTTATTAAAAATTAACTATATTACTTTCTGAGATTTACGCGAATATTTAATACATATTTTAAGTAAAACTATCTTTTCGGATTCGAAGAGACGTCTCTCCCGTGACCATGATTGCTGTAAAGCATTCGAAATGTCGGGAACCAAAAATCAAAATAAAACCGCGAAATAATCCGAAAAGATAGTTTTATTTAAAACTTTATTTTATTGTAACAGTTTTTATCAAACATTGAATTAGCACAACCTATTTATTATTTTAAATATTACTTCCATACATATCACCTACGAAATACGTAATTTGAGTTTCGCGTTCCTGTTAGTAAGAACTTAGTAGATCCCTATGATTTATTCAACGCTTTCGTCCTCTCCTTGAACTGGACCTACTAAGACAGGTTTAAATTTGGCATTGGAAATGTACTTATATTGGTTGTATACATCTGTATATCAAGAAAAATACACGATATTTACTAACTAGCCTTTGCCCACGGTCGGGCCTCGTAGTTTTTTTTGCACTAGTGACCAGTAGAAGGCTTTTCTTGATGGCTACAAATATCATAAGGGTAACTTTTAAATAAGCTATAATGTTCCTACACATTTCCTCTTCCTATTGGTGAAAACTATATGAAAATCAGTTCAGTATTGTCTGAGATTAGCCGGAACACAAATTCATCGCTGGGGACTTTAATGTATAATATATAGCAATAATAACTTCTCTCGTAAGAGTCTGAGTGTGACGATATCCTATCAATATATAGGCTAATGATGCTAAAACATATTTCTTTAATCAGATTAGTAATAAAACACATAAAAGGGTCCATACATTTATTAATATGCAAAAATCACAACAATCAAGTCTCTGTTTTGACATCATCTGTACTATTATGCTGCGACGCGTGTTCCAATAAAGCCTTTTTTTCATGGAAAGAACGTTCACATTTTTCGCATTTATGAGCTCTAACCCCGGTGTGTACACTTCTATGTCTTTTTAATTGGTAGGAATTCGGGAATCCTTTACCACAGTTTATACATTTATGCGGCATTACACCGGTGTGATTTCTCATATGAAGATTTAACTGGCCTTTAGCTTTGTATTTCGAACCACAAATCCTGCAAGTAAAAGGCCTCTCGCCCGTGTGCCAAAACATATGCTTCTTTAATACTTTCTCTGATACAAACTTTTTGGAACAGACTTCGCAAACGAACGGCTTATCTTTACTTATATTTCTCATATGGAGTTCTAATTTGCTTTGGCTCTTGTATATTTTGTTGCAATGCTCGCATTTCACTGGTTGCGCTGAACTGTGGACGTTTTCGATGTGGTCCTGTACAGAAACAATTGTAGTAAAAAAAAAATGAAGAAAATCACGTTTCTTTCTCGGTAAAAGAAGAAAATATATAAAATAAGCGCAATACGTTGGGTTTGTTTTAGCAAACCAAATAGGTTTCATTCGCGATATTACCAGTGGTTATTAAAATCCAAATGATTGTAATGTCTTCCAAATTATATACTTGCAAAAAAAAACAAATCTTGACGACGATAACATCAGAAGAACCTACAGTAGATTAAAATCGATTTCCCAGATTGTTTACATATAACTTTTAACCTTTATTTATTACATAAGCCAACACATCCAGAATAATATTTTAATATTTTCTATGGAATTACTAGAGCACTGATATATTTATTGATTGTCAGCCAAAGGCCTAAATGAAACAGAGTTATGGAAAGCGATAACCAACACCAAGATTTGTTTCAATTAGTACAGCTGATATTTAAAAACATTCCATCAAAATGTATTTTCTGTGTAAAAACTAAAAAGTAATTCTAGACTTCTACATAGTTTGGGCGTTAAAATTATTTATTATACTATTTGGCAAAAATATACATTTCGATACATTCAAGAGCAAACTAAATTTGCAATGAAATAGAATGTAAGCTTTTTAAAATGGGATATCTGATTGCCAAATCCGTTCGTCAAAGGTCGTTTCTGCTGAAATAAGTGACGTCACAAAGCCACAAGTGAATATACTGATATTGGCATCAGTTCTGAAATCTACTCACTATCTATTTCCGAATGGTAAACTAAATTTTTGTTACTTTTTATCTTTTTTTGCGAAGTAATCAATAAATAGTTGAAAAATAACACACACACACACACACACACACATATATATATATATATATATATATATATGTGTGTGTGTAAACATATACGTAGATATACATATTTATTATATAATCATTTATATGGTATTTTTATAAAGAACTAACTAATAATAATGAACTCAAAAGTTCTGAAATTATGGTTGAATCTACTCGAACTTTTGAAATAAAATTAGCTCATAACTCATTAAAAAAGTTATTATCCAATAAAAAAACCCAAAACTGTAGATTTGAGAGCGTTATAAAATATGTAATTATAAATAGAATGGAAGTATAGAAATTACAAATAGAGTTGTAGTACATTTGCTAACTTTACTTTATGGCAAAAATGAGAGTTGTAGATATAGTTTCAAATTATATAATCTTTATCATATAGATAGCATAGATCTATACATATAATAAAATATTAACTTAGCGAAATCTGTACATGAAATATTTTTTTGAAAACAATGACTGTAACGCATTGTGTATAGAATATAGACGCCAAAACAATAGTTATAATTTTTTGTCTGTTTGTCTGTATGTCTGTTTGTGAGATTTTACCTAAATTTTGTGTAGTGATAACTTATCACTCGGCTCAACATTGAGGATAGCTTTTACTCCAAGAAAATCTTTCATTCCCTCGGGAAAAAGCAAAAAGTGGTTCTCTCGAGATATCCCTAGAAATTTACATGGCTAACGCTGGGTAAACCTTAAGGAAAATCAAAATCAAAACAATGTACTAGAAAATGGTAGGTCTTGAAAAGCCTTACAGAAAAGTCTGTATAAGTTTATTTCCTGCGGTACACTGGTAATAACTATTTCAAACGCATCCATTGACGCATCCGAGCGAAGCGAGGGTAAGCCGCTAGTGTAAAATAAAATAGCTAAATCAACTAAAATGTTTAGAAATATACTGTCTTTAGTAGGTAACTATTTACTTTGAATTTGTGATAATATATCGCACGAGTGCTCCTAATTAGCCACAATGTTTAAACACAATATTACGAGTATTTGAAGAGCAAATAGAATTGTTTTTACTGTATGTTTAACACCTCCATGTAAATTTTTAAGAAATTAATTAAATTTCTAAGAAATCTATTGTTAAATGTAACGCCGGCGTGTCCGCGGTCGTGGAGGGATTAACTCCTAAGGTTGTTGATTTAATTTATTATTAATTGTCTTTATTGTAAAAAATGAATGTAAAAATTAACAATTAATTTTGTTCTAAAAATGTCATTTTCTCTAGAAAGACCTATTGCACGTGAAAGTTCTATTAAAATCACTCCAGCTTTGCCGAATAGAAAATATCAGGTTCAAAGAAACAGACAGACATACTGTATCTTCTAATCTAATCTTTTATAAATAGGTATAATGTCTATATATAACTAGCGCCTCACCCTCTTTTCACTTGGTTTCGTCCTTAGCTTGCTTCCCAATATAAAATTTCATCCCCATTTTCACCCCCTTAAGGGATGATTTCGATTTGTGCTCATAGCTATCAATACCTATACTAATAATGTCCTTCTGACCGATTCCGGCCACGGCGGCTAATTTCATTGAGACTAGCCAGATGTGCAGGAGATATTATAGTGCAGCGCGTGTACGCGCAGACACAATTGCACTCTCTATTCCTTTTATTCTCTAAGTCCAATGGGACGATACTTTGATACGACCGGTGAGAGTTAAGGCGTAGACTGACGGCTTTACGTCCTCGCCGAGGCACGGGGATGCCACACCGCCAATTTCCCAATACCGAGATACAAAGAATATCTTAACAGAAAAACTCAGTAATTTAACTTGGCCCGACCCGGGACTCGAACTGAGGGCCACTAAACCCACGGGAGGGGGCTTTAGTTACTATATATACTAATATAATATTTTCAATAATAATCCCTCAACGATCGCGGACACGCCGGCGAGTCAGTTAACAATAGATTTCTTTGAATTTTAATTAATTTCTTAGAAATTTACCTGGAGGTGAAATGTGAAAGTTCACACCTAAACCGCTGAATCAATTTTGATGAATTTGGTATAGAGATAGATAGGACCTTGGAGAATTGCATTATTAGTTTTTGGCGCGAAATGAAAACTAGAAAGGGGGTAAAATTAAAGCTAGAGGGTCCTATGTTTTTCTACTAGAGACATAAAGATGAGTTAAATATTCGGGTGCAATATATCTATAGTAAATAAAGACTATTTTATCATGAATATTAAGAGAAGCGAGTGTGGGAATATTGTAAATGTAAAAGACATCTAGGAGCGCCACCCGAGCGAAACGAGGGTAAGCCACTAGTATATTAATAAAAACGTCCAAACAAAAAATAAACAACCTCACATTGTACTTATTATACAAAATATTTTATATGGAGCAAGGAACATTCGCCAAAATGTATTTTCCAAAGCTATTTAAATAAAGCCACATGAATAAACGTAGCTTATTCGAAGTCGCTCGTTAAGCATATCTCTTCGTTCTCTCAGTTTATACATTTGTGTTATATGTTTGTGTGGTTATGTTTTTATTTATTTGTTTTTATATATACATAAATTATGTACTATGTAATAATTCTATGTAATAATTTATTATATACAAACTAGCGACTCACCCTCGTTCGTCCGTAGGTACGTTTTGGCGCTTAGTGTAAAAGAATTTTTTTTCAATTTTTTTCCTGAATTTTTCCGAATGTTTTAATAGATATTCTGCTATTCAGGATGAATACATATCTATTAAAACAAAGATCATAAAAATCGGTCCAGCAGTTTTCAAGTTATAAGTGTTTTAACAAACCCGATTTTGTTTTATATACTACATCTATAAGATATGTATATGCTCTCCTAAAATTTTAAGATACATTATGAATAAGATTTTCCACCTTTTTTTAATTACTTAATTTAAACTTTTTTACTAATTAACACTAGCCAATGTTATCATAACACATTTTAAAATGTCGTTATCTGTCAAGGATAATTTTTTGAGGCATTTATTTTACGGGTTCTTCGCTTTTTCATAGATTGCCATTTAAAATAACGTGATATTAGTACACATTACATAACACTTTTTATTAAAAAAAACTTGCTAACTTAACTTGCTTTGTATGGGCTGGCACCGATTTCGAAAATATTTGATTAGGTATGTATTTAATAGGTAGGCTTTAATTACTTAGCCAAAGCACACCGACTTCGAAAATATTTGATTAGGTATGTATAGTAAATGAAAACTACCAATCAGTTATTTTTAACTTTTTAGTGCTTTTGTTTGAAGTCGGTTTTTATTTTTTTGTTAAAAAGTTTTTATTTTTCCCTTTTTAGTGTAGACAGTAGTAGCAAAGTAAGAATTCTAACGTGTTAGGCTTGTCAAATCAAACAAAATAAGCCCAAACTCAAAGTAGTATTTACTTTATTAGCCGTTGAAGAGTTGCACCTATCCACCTTCTGGCCTTGCCATCAGATCAGGTCAACAACACCGAACCACTGTACTATCAACGGAAATAGAAATACTTGCAAAGTTTCAAGTCAATATGACAATTAGAAGTAGGTTAAATTCATCATTACTTGTTTTTCCACCCTTAGGGGTGGTATTTTTTTTTGAAATTTAAATGGGACCAATCTGGAAGTATACCCTTTCAAACAAAACAAAAATTGTCAAAATCGGTTAATAAATGACGGAGTTCTCAGGTAACAAACATAAAAAAAAAAAAAAAAAAAAAAAACATACAGTTGAATTGAGAACCTCCTCCTTTTTGAAGTCGGTTGAAAACATAGCTAAGTTCTATATCAATCAGTGCAAATAAATAAAAAAAAACAAGAGTTCCTCTTTTTACGCTTCTTCTTAGGAGAAGAATTAGAAGAAGATTATAAAATATATAACTTATGAGAATATTCGTGATTAATAGGCTCTACAAAGAGATAAAAATAATATCAATAATACTTATTTTATACGCAGCTCAAAGCGAGGATTAGACCATAGCCAAGAAATACAAATGCAATAGAATATGAAGATGATACTGGAATCTGAAGATTAGACCTAACTTGACGACAACGTGATGTACGAGTAAAACGTACTGAATACAAGATTTACTTCTAGAAGTTTATGTTTACAACTGTAATTATTTATTGACTAGAAACGTCGGAAATAAAAAACGAAACTAAAACCGCGAAAAAATCCTAAAGAATAGTTTTATTTAAAATGTTAAATATTAGCTTAAATCTAAAAAAATATATAATACCTATAGTAAGTTAATGTTTTCTTCATAAATATGTTATTTATATGCTAAAAGTAATAATATATTCATAGTATATATGTACTTTTAGTAATTATATTATCGTAATAGGTATATTCATACATAACCAATAAGATAAAAAAATCAGTCGTTAATTTTTTTTATTTTATAGAAAAAAACAATTGCAAAAAAAAAAACAAAAAATACTCACCTTTAAGCCCCACATTCTCTTAAACCCCTTTCCGCAGGTTTCACAAACATACTGCCTTACATCCGTATGATGAATTAAATGTGATTTGATTTCATGCCTGAATACAAATCTGTGAAAAATTTAGGGGTTAGAAGGTAAATTTGCGTAGGTACATCTCCACTTTTCAAGTTAAATGGGTCACGACCTTATAAAATTATTCACGTTCCAAAATCGACCGAACCTGTTCTTTGCAAAGCCCATATAACAGATTCTGAGTCCATATTTGATAAACCAGTTAGTACAGATATGGGCAGATAAACATGTTTTTTTATTTTCCCTATTTTCTGTGTAATTTATATTACCTAATATTGTATGTAAACACATCTGATGTATGCAAAATCGAAAAAAGCCATTTGTATAGTCAACAAGGCAAAAATGTAAAATAGAAAATAAAACGAAATGAAATTATTATTATTAAAAAAGTAATATGTCTTTTTGCCACCTTATCAAGGCTGACAACTTGATATTTTGTTTTTGAATAAAGGTTTTCCTTTGGGATGCCCGATAGAACGTTTGATAAGAATAGATTATTTGATATATACATTACTAATGTAAATTGACACGATACTTAATGTCCGGCATATCACATGGAAATAGTGTATTAGGTATTAAGTTTATTAAATTTTACTTAAAAATCAAACAATAATTTATGTTGAGAGAATCGACTAGTGAATAAAAAAATAACATTTATAAAGTACACAAGAAAATAAACATTCACTCAGTAATACCAACTTACAAGGTACAGAGCTTTAGTGCGTTTGACTTAAATTATTTACTTATTTCCCTAACATGTTACCAGTGATAGATCATCTAGATTTAAATGGCATGTCATAGCTAAAAGACTTTGCTACTGGAATTTAAACCATATGCTATTAAACAGTAAGTTGAAAATTCAATAGTGACTGTCATGTATATTTTTACGTGTCAAATTCAGGGAACCAACGATTTGCTATTTCTTGGCTAATGATAATCCGTAAATGTGTTTGTCAACTATACCATATGCATTTTAAATTATCTTTCTGCTTTTTCATTATGCCTCTCCTATTTTATCTAAAGGAAAATAAGATTACAGGTAGGGTTTCACTCATAATTGAGAAATTATACCTAAAATCTCGAGTCTTTAAATTCAATACATGTCGCATAGAGGAACCCTGCATCAGATCACCAATTTTTTGTATATTATGCAATGCCTACCCCGATTCGCAATGGATTTTAAAGATTTTAATTGACTTCCAGACTGGAGTCTATACGAAGAAAACCATATTAGAGCAAGGGTGAACTTTCATTATGTGTGGACCAGATGGAACAAATATTTGCTCAACTATTGAATCTGCTACCTAGAGCATAAAAATGCACGAAAATAATAATCGTAAATATTTGGAAATTCAAACATATTCCCCTATATTTTTAAACTTTAGACCACTTAAAATATTTCCCTAGTAAGCGTAGCTTCGACAGTCATAAGTCCCATTCGAGATAATCTCTATGAAGCAAATCCCGATGGGCATGCATTTTAGTATTATTTAGACGTTCTAGGCCAGTAAGGAATAATGTAGGGTAGATAATGTAGTAGCTGCTGCTATTATATCAACTTATTTATGTATTTGATTTAAGTCTTGACTATATACGTCTTGTACGGCAAATCTATTGACGATCACCGAAAATCAATAGAGAAGCTAAGGTTTGTTGTTCTTCCTACTTTCATCAGGTTTAAGATTATAATTTTTTAAGATACTTTTAGTTTTAAAGTTTGTTGTTTTATATCACAATTTTAAATAGCTTTATTTTAATTGCTTAATTTTGCGGTTGATTTGTCATAAATGCCCACATTGTTATATGCAGTTCGGTCTTGCCCCACCAGGGTCTTTCCCCGTATACCCAGCTAGATTGCTCTATGAAAATCGATTTGACGGTATTAACTACGGATAAATATAGACATTTGTTCCATTTTTGGCAAAGGACAGCTGTGACGTGGAAAAAAGTGTAAAAACGGAAAATTTATGAGTTTTTCTCATTCGTGAGAACATAACATTTTTTGTGAAATGAGATTTAAATAGGAATTATATATATAGGAATAGGATTTATGTTGGGAAATGCATTTACGTATACCACCGGTATACAAAGAGGTGGTTATATGAGACTTACCGGCGTGAAAAGCCAGTACTACCCACTAAATCCTAACAAAATCTCCCCCGTCTTAATGGGGCGTCGCAGGAACGCTTACACACTCAATGACGCCCCGACGGCAGATCTGCCGAAGCAGACCACAACAACCATAGGGTTGCTCAACAGTCCACTCTGCTATCGGAGTGAACCATTCTCCACCACGACTTGGTGAACACACGTTGGTGGGGTCTAATTTTTTTTCGTCTTCATAACGGGCAAGGTACTGTGAGACTCCTACTCACTAAAACCCACAGCGGAACCCGTCGCCGCAGTGCAATAGGGGTTGCAGGATCGCTTGCGTACACACTATAACACCCCTGCGGGACTAATTCAACCCCTTAGAGGTTAATTTGAACCCACGATCTCATAATTTGAAACCATACAAGCTAGCCATCAGACCAATATCTCTAATTATTACATAAAAGATGTTGCTGATGTCCGAAGATAAAGCGAATTTCAAATTTCTTCAAAATAACGGTTATTATGCGTAAGTCAGAACTCAGTAGCTAATACTTACTTCCTTCCACAATGGTCGCAAACAAACAAACTATTTTCATTATGTAGCCGTTCATGTCTTTTCCATGTTTTGAATTTTTTAAACGTTTTATTGCAAACTGAACAAAGTCCACCGGGTGTTTGTAAATGGAAAGATCTAAAATGGAACTGCAGAGATAAAATCGATGCCTTCTTTTTATCACAAATGTGACAAAATAATTTCCTTTCGGGACAATGTTCAAATCTGAAAACATTTACTAAGACATTCATATAGCATTGAGATAATATCAGAAACTCTATATATGAAAAAATCTTGTAATATTGATGTGATTCAATAGGGAATATGGGTGTGATTTAAATAAAGATTAAATATTTTTTTTATATAATCTTTATTGCTTTTGAATTAAGCCTATATCAATATTTTCAATATAATTTCTTTTTTATTAGGAAAATAATGATTAAAAAGTACAAATATAGATGGGAAATTTAAAGTAGTTGAAACGCACGCCATTGTTCAGACCGAATATGACGTCAAAGTATTATCGTAACAGAGCGATTAGCAATTTTGTAGCTACAAAATAAAGTCTTAATTTTGCTATGTTTAATACTTTGACGTCACGCCGAGCGCGCTAAATGGCGGGAGTTTAAAGTATTCGTATCAAATGATATTTAAAAAATATATATATTAAATTTTAGTTTTTTCGAGCTGCATATTTTTTTTACAATTTAATAACAATGTTACCTATTGTATATTAAATCACGCCTATTCCCTATTCTCTCGTTATTTTAAATTTCTAGTATGCAAAATATTGTTTTTATCCTTACTGTTCAACTTAGACTACGATTATTTTCAAAAGATTTCGGAGATATTAGATTATTTGACGCCACGTTTGGCTCAGTTTGTAGTGACCCTACTTACTGTGCCAGCAGTCGCGGGTTCGAGTCCCGCTGGGGGCATTCATTTGTGTGATGGCGAATGTTTGTACTCCAGTCATGGGTATTTATATTTATAATATGTATATATTTAAAGTTATACTCGTATATGTGTAGTGTATCAACTATCTGGTATCCATAACACAGGCCTCGCAGCTTACCATGGAACTAGATGGTGCTGTGTGTTAATGTCCTAACATTTGCAAGCATATAATCTAAAAAAAAAAACAAAATCAAAATCGGTTCATCCGTTGGGGAGCTACGATGCCACGCACAGACACGTCAAACTTATAACACCCCATCGTTTTTGCGTCCGAGGTTAATAAAGTGACAAACGAAAAAAAATCATTCGCTATTCACATTAATGGAATTTATTTCGTCGTCGTAACATAGTGTAATTTTAATACTTACCTGTGAGTTATCATATCAGCAAAATCCCTACCAGTATATAAACATATTTGACACTTTAAATCGTTATTTGAGTAATGGTCATCCAAATGCTCCTTTAAATCACGACAATTACTTACATTGCACAATCCTAAAAAAATTATTCGTTAGGCAAAAGGCAAAAATGGAACAATTATAATTTTGTCATACAAATCTGTCCATACGTCACAGTTATTTTTACTTTAAAATATGACATACAGGTAAATGTCTAATATAAACCAGATAACGGGGAAGTGAATTTACTACATGTAACTGTGATAGAAAAAAGTTATAAGTTTATGTGAACTTTACAATTGAGACACATTTTTCTAAAAACTTTTTTACGGTTCTTAAATTAAGTCTTGACCCTGTATGGATATCTTAAAATTAAAAAATAAATCCTAACAATATTATTTTCACATGTCACTAAATATAAGAAATACCATTAAAAAAAGCATAACCTAAAAATTAATACTCATCTATACAAATAAATAATATTGAAGTGTCTGTTTGTAATGTCAAAATAACAGCTTTTTACTAAATGCATATGAAATTACATAATATGGTAGCTAGGTACTTATGAAAGAAATACAACTTTTACAATTTTTTTACAGTTTTTTACAGTTTGTTCCGTCAAATCTCTGAAAAGGCTGGACTGATTTTGATGAGACTTTCACTGGCAGAAAGCTAATGTTATAAGAAGTAAGTTAGATGATTTTTATTTTAGAAAAAGAATTAGGGTTCTTCTCAAAAAAATTAAAACATACCTAGGGAGGCACCCGAACGAATCGAGTAAGTCATTAGTATTTACTATATAATAAGATAACTTACCACATTTGGAACTTAACTTTGCGTTTTCAGTATCTTCTTCCTTTTCCACAACTTTTTTTGGGATTATGATTTTTTTATGCTTTCCTTTATAGCACAATTTCTTCATGTGTTGGTAAAGCCAGCTTTGTTTAGCTGCAAAATTTAAATGACCAGTATTTTGAAAAATATATAATTATTAATATTTTTTATGTCAACAAATATTTTCTGCTATCAATATTAGCCATACTACTAAAAATAATATAATCTGCAAATATATACATATTATATCAAACTGTGTACTTATTCTAACTAAGCATATAATCTTTATAGGGCATTATTTGACTGTAGATTCATATTCCTTTATCAGCCAAAAAAATTGCATTAAAATTGTATACTTGAAACCCTCGCTTTGCTCGGTTTAGTCCCTGCTTGCTTCCCAATACAAACTTTCATCCCCATTTTCACCCCCTTAAGAGATGATTTCCAGGACAAAAAGTATCCTATGTCCTTCCCAGGGTTGCAAACTATCTTCTTACTAAATTTCATCTAAATTGGTTCAGTAGATCCAGAGATTCTCACAAACTTATAAAATTTAACTGTTTATAATATTAGTATAGATTATATTAAACAAACTTACAATATTGTTTTTTGCATTTATGACACTCAAATTTCTTGGTAACTTTATGTTCAATTTTCTTATTATTCTCATATAAACAATCTTTATTCATATTTAAATGTGATTTGCTATGTTCTTGAGAATCTTCAGATGTATAATCAATTGTTTCTACTAAACCTTTATTATGTGAAAAGTCATTTAATTCTTCATAATTAACTTTCTCTATTTTAATTTCTACTTTTTCTGAATCGCCATTGTTAATGGTGTAATTCTATAGAAATAAAAACATAATTAAAGTATAATGGAAAAGAAAAAAATAGAAACTCTAGATAGTTTGAAATATTTACTTACACTATCAAAAGAATTCCAAAAAATTTCAGATTCTACACATTTTTTCTTAAATTTGGCATAATCTTGAATAGTTTCAGCGCATTTATAACACAATATCTTTGGTGAATATTGGATTTTTACCTACAAGTTTAATATTTCACAATTTATGGATGTTCAAATATAGACGCAGCTGAAACTTCTTAGTTATTATATTCCAATAAAATATAATGCCAGTATCAACACAACCTTTGTGAATTCTATTTCAGCAATACTAATCACATCACACGATAAGAGATACAAGCATAAATCTATGATATATGTAGATAAAATACTTAAGGCAACATAAAACTATTAATAACTCACATTGAAACCAAAACAATATTCAAACAATTCTAAGATATATTTGTTTTGATCAAGATTAATTCCCCCAATATAATTTTTATCTAGACATACACGACAGGAATGAGATGATAGTAAGGAATTATGATCAGTTATAAAAGACATTCTAATAATATCAACTTATATATTATTAAAATAATCGAGAACACATTTACTATATATTTACGAAGAAATAAGCTTTAAAAGGTATCAAAACAAACAATTCGGTGTTCTTGTCAAATGTCAATGTCATTGTCTGAGTTCTCAAATGAATACAAAATGAGAAGCCGAAGTCATAGTTTAAAAATATTACGGATTTAATTTTGAGCCTTTTAAAATATTGGAATTATATGAATACTGATTTTGTAATGTTTAAAACATTGAAATAGTCAGCTTAATTATGAAGACTGAGTTGTCACTTGTGACGTTTAACTTAAGAAGTTGCTAGATAAAAAATATATAATTTATATTAATTATAACTATTTAAAATATCCACTTCCCAATAACATTGATAGTAAGATGTCCCAGTTTTCCAATTACAGAGTATAATGCCTCACTTTGGCGCATAAACACGAACAACGCGAAAAAAGAATTCTTGTATTTTCTGCTTGGTTGGTCACGCCTATTGCCAAAGCAATACTTTTCAAAGTGCTCGATTGTGCGGAGCGTTGCTGTAGTTCATAGTTAAAAATTCTAAGTTGAGCATTATGCCGCATAATGCGCTTCAATGCTGTAATTGGAAAAAGCCCTGTATACTACATTCATCAAATTATCTAAAAAGCATTGATCAAAATATAATTATGTAACAAAGTATAATTAATTGCTTTAATGAAAGCAAACTTGGAAAATTTTCGGGCAAATTTAATTTTTAAATGCTATATTTTTAGTTTTTTTTTATGGATTCAGTAACAAACGAGCAGACAGACCACCTGATGGAAAGTAGTACCTGTCGCCCATAACACCTACGGTTCATGCACTTAGGTTTTATGTTACAAAAATGCAGAATCGCAGATGCGTTGTCACTATGTGGACTAAGATGATATGCTTCTTGCCTGTAATAGCACCGGCTACCTTATCCTTCAAACTGGAACACAACAATGCAAATATTGTTGCTTGGCGGGAGAAATAAATAAGGGGGTGGTACCCATCCCGTCGGATTCCTCAGGCTGGACAAAGTCCTACCACCGGTAATTACGCTGCGACATAATTCGTTGGCTTACTATTACAAGGTTCTATGTTAATTTTAATGAAGTTTAGTAATTTTTACATAGAACTTCTTTATTTTGTTATCGTAAAAAAAACAAGATAGAACTATGTAAAATTGAATATTTTGTAGTTATAGTGCCGCTATCTAGTGGTTTGTTTTTGCAAAACTGTAGCTAATAGCACATAGAACCTTGTAGCATTAATAACTAAATAAGTACTTAAATTGTAACATAGAACCTTGTAATAGTGAGCCAATAATTATGTATACCTTTACGAGATTGTAATGTAAATTAAAATGATATTAAGAATTAAGTAATCGATACATCATAATTTTAGTGCAAAAATGTTTAGTATATAATTATTGAAATATACTTACCTTACTCGATTTGAATATACTCATGGACTATTACCTAATTTGTTTGAGAAGTGTTTTCTATGAAAGTGCCACGAAGTTTCGAAGAAGAATTCGGAATAACTGAATCGTTTACGATTTAAATCTAGAATCTACTTAACCTTTTGTAGCGAATGCCAATTTTTATGTCTTTATTGACTGGACTAAAGGGCCTCGCAAGCATTTGCCACCTCCTACTTGTTAAAGGTGTTAACCTCCAGGTAAATTTCTAAGAAATTAATTAAATTTCTAAGAAATCTATTGTTCACTTTAATGCCGGCGTGTCCGCGGTCGTGGAGGGATTAAGAAAAACATCATTGTAACATCGAATAATTTTCTATCAGTATCTTAAAAATATAAGAGGCGAAAGTATTGTGACATACACGATATCACTTTAGTGAAACGTCTTGAATGGCAAACGTATTCATTAGTTTACATTAATATATTATACAGAGTAGGAATAAGTTAAGAATGGCACATCTTTTGTTGAAATATTCCATGACCATTCCATGCATAGATTTGAATTGTGTTGAGCGCTTAGAGTTACATATAGTATACAGCGCACAATGGCTTGAGTCTCTTGGCATAATCAACAATTGGACGTTCCTAGACGTATTCTCTCGAAGAATTTTCATCTATATGCTTTCAAAATCCAATTGACTGAAAAATTGAAATCTACAGACCGCTTGTCCGTCATAAGATATCGTTAAATAATTGATTGATTACCTATAGAAAAAAAACAAGTTGATATGATGGTAGGCTCTCCCGTGCCCATGATATGCCCATGATGCCCATAAAGACAGATAGACAAGTGCCATACGCCACTTATTAGCCTATGTAAATTCTCAATTTTTTTTGTTATTGTTATGTTTAAGAAAATGCAACTTAATGTTAATATTACTATTTTTACCTATTTATCTATTCTGTATCCAAACTGTAATTTGTAATTTTTTTAGCTCTTATATCATTATAAAGGTGGCGTAATAACATGGTCCTTGTACTTATTTTGTTCCATATTAAGTAGGTATTAAGTTAACCTACAAAAAAGGACCTTTGTAGAAATAATAATAGTGTCCTGTTTTGTAGAAATAATAATAGTAACCTATATTATTACACAAAATCTTCAGATTTCTCTTGATATTTTTTTGATTCTCGTATCCGATGGCTTGTTTCTTGACCCAATCACTTAGGCCACATTTTTGGTCCATCCATCTATGTTTATGTGTGTGTTTATCCATGTTAAATTTTGACTCGAACTCGCACGATATATTTCAACTACTAATAAATATTAATATTGATCATATAGGTAACATAACATTGGTAACAAATGACAATATCGTCAAGAAATATATCTATGTGATATTTTTTTTCCCTTTTTTTTTATTAATAACCTACTTTATGTAAGCAGAGAGCCAGTCAGACTCTTCAATCTTCACCCCACCGTAATAATAATCAAAAAAACTCTTTATTTCACTCACAAAAAGAAGACAAAAACAATAATAAAACAGGTAAGTATACAAGAGCGGCCTTATTGCTAAAACAGCGATTTCTTCCATGCAACCTTTAGGTGTAGGCAATAGCAAAGTGTGAAGTGAAAGGAGTGTGAGCACAGAGCTATAAATAAAATGATATATACATACATGTGATACTATATATACGTATATACAAAAAATATTCTATTTTTCACCAATATCGAGACAATCTATATAGATTTAAGTTTAAACGCCACGCCTTGTCCTAACGATAAAAAAATGTAGATACTTTCAAGCGGCAGAATAGTCGCAGGCCACAGTTTCAAAATAAAGAAAGAGTTGCAATTCACAAATTCAATTTCAATTTGAAAAACTTAACGGTATTTTAATGGTATGGCTACCGAACTTCTGGCTTTTTATATGGACAAAATAAATGCATATATGTGACGAAAGTATTACTAATGTTATGCCAAGGTAAATCACATATCCTTTAATTGATTTATGTTCTAGTTTACGTATTCTTGTGAATAGAGAAATTTAACGTCGATTAAGCACCATTTACCGTTCCACAGAGGTTAACTTTCTCGTGCAAAATTCATAATGTACTTATTCACTGTATCGTATTGTTACCTACTATAATTGTTGTTGTTTCGAAATCAATAGAAGGTGAGAAGGATCATAGATTAATATTATCACTTAAAACTTAATATTTTATCTAATAATATTATGCAATATTTTAATATAAAAATAATTAAAGATTTAAATATATATTGACTGAATACTTTCTTAGATTTACGCGAATATTTGACATTTTAAATGAAACTATCTTTTCGGATTATTTCGCGAATTTATTCAAAACGTTTCAAATGCTTTACGGCAATCATGGTCACGGGAGAGACTAAGGCTATAGACGTTTCAAAGGCGTTATGTACTTGTTACCGACAGTACAACTGTTCAGTGTACACTAAAGACAAATATTATAATGAAAGAATTTTCAGAATTGGATCTGTAGATTCAGAGATTACACTCCTACTCTGTACATCTAAGCGTACAAATCCTACCTATATAGATCGAATTCTGGAAAGTAAGACATTATAGTAAATTGTAAAGTGATATTATGATCTACCATATCTAATAACGTACACTAATGTGCCATACGAACTCCTTGATCAAACGGAATAATGTTTTATCTCCGTTTTTACAGGCATATCATATTTCGTAAGAATAGATTGCTTGAAACGATATTAGGTAACAATTTTTATTTTGCTTTAATTAAAATTATAAATTTTATAATAAGGAAAAATTAACTGAAACTTAAGAAAAACCTCCGAGTTAACAAAATGTAAAAATATCTTGTTACATGTAAACATACATATAATAAAAGTGTAACTGATCGCTGTCTGTACATGGAAAATATTTGAGAAAATTATTATTGGGACTCTTTATTAACGTAATGGCAGCCAAAGAATTTTTAGAATTTTTCTTTGTTGTCTGTGGGTTAGTGCGCGCTAATGTCAGAAACGGCTTAACGGGTGCGGTTTTCGCTAATGTATTGTGGTAAGCTTCCCTTAATATTTAATATTTGTTTTATTTCAATCGATTCATAAATAAAAAAAACCAAGTCAGTTTAAAGACTCATTTAGAGACAAACCCGAGCGCAGGAAGGGTAAGGTCATTATTTATCGAATAAAATTCTTCATCTTAAAGTTTTTCAAGAGTTATTTAATACTTCTTAGTTTTAACGATTTCAAGTTGTAATATTTGCAAATTTCGTTAACCCGTATTTGACTTTGCATGAGAGGAGGCGGACGCCAAGCTGTGAGACGTTAAAAGAATTGTTATTATCATTATTTATTACTAGCGACTCCCTACCTGCCCCTAGCTTGCGTCCCAATACAAACTTTCATCCCCATTTTCACCACGTTAAGGGATGATTTCTGTAATAAAAATAGTATTCTATCACCTTACCAGGGTCTCAAACTATCTTCATCCCAAATTTCATCCAAAGCGGTTCAGTAGATCCAGAGATAAGCCCTCACAACCTCACAAACTCACTT